ACAACGGTGGCAAGACAGTTTGTAAAACGGGGCGAATTTCACTTAGCCCCTGTCTGGCTGAACTCACAGAAACGTCGGGCTCCCTTTTGGTCGTAAGTCGAGAACAACCTGTAGGGAGTTAGTCCTCGAGTTACGGCCGTCGTCGTGCCCAGAATTTACAGTCTCCTCAGCCTGCACATCCCCACAGCATTGGGCGAAACGAAGGCTTTTTTCAGTATCACTTATTTTTCGCTTCTTCAATACTCCGCATTTTTCCCCTCAAAAAAATAAAAAATAAATCCAACAGTAACCAAATCCTCTCAAAGCATCTGTGAAAAACAAGATACTAAATGGGATTTTGAAGTAGTTCCAAGGAGCTGAGGGGAAAAAAAAAATTAAAGAGTCAATTTAATATGAAGAGAGTTGAGAGAGAGAAGATTGTCTCAGAATAGCATCAGGGTTTGAAAGCTGACAGCCTTCTCGCCCCTCCGATATCTTGTTATTAACGCTTTTTTTTCCCCTCAGATAAAAATATCCTGATTTTTTATTTATTTATTTTTTTGAATAGAAGGGGGAAAAAAAATAAAACACCGGTAGCGCTATTCTCTAGGCACCCATTCAGGCCTTATTGTCATCAACGTCAGTGGAATTCACTCCTCCATATGTCCCTGAAGGGAGTAGCGCTAAGCCAACATTGGACTTTCGCTTCAGTTTTTGTCACGGCTGGAGGTGGGATAGATTTAAATCAACCCACACCACCACGATGCACTCCGAGCTTTCCCCAAAGCAGCAGCAAAATTCAGATTCTCAACCCCCCAAGTGGTTTCAACAGGTTTTCTCTGCTTCTGTCTTCACTGAAAGGGAACTAGGATATGGGAAGGAGACCACCAGGCGATCCCAAGGTTTAATTTATTAGGTTTTTTTAAAAAAAAATTGCCTAAAGGTTGTAAACACGCATAATACTTCTTCCTTTCATTTTCGCTACAACAACAAACCCCAGTGAGGTGAGTTGGGCTGAGAGAGATGGATTGGCCCAAAGTCACCAAGCCGGTTTTCATACCTGAGGTAGGACTAGAACTCACAGTCTCCTGGTGATTAGTCCAAAGTCAACCAGCCAGTTTTCCTGCGTAAGGCAGGATTAGAACTCACGATCTCCCGGTGATTGGCCCGAAATCATCCAGCGGGCTCTCTCACCTAAAGCGGGACTAGAACTCACCATCTCCTGGTGTCTAGCCCAAAGTCACCCAGTCAGCTTTCATGCCTAAGGCAGAACTACAACTCACAGTCTCCTGATGATGGACTCAAAGTTATCCAATTGGCTTTCATGCCTATGGCAGGACTAGAACTCACAGTCCTCTTATGTGACCTTCCGACAAGCAAAGCCAATAGGGAAGTCAGATTCATTTAACAGCCAGGTTTACTGACTTAACTGCAGTGATCCACTTAACAACTGAGGCCAGAAAGGTCGTAAAACGGGGCAAAACTCAACAAATGTCTCACTTAACGATGGAAATTTTGGGCTCTCTTGTGTAAAGTCGAGGATTGCTTTTTACATTATCTCTTTTTGCAGACAACCCAAATTAATGAGGAAACAGATTCATTAAGAAGCATTGTTACTAATTAAGCAGCTGCAGTGATTCACTTAACAACGGTGGCAAGCAAGGTCGTAAAGGGGGGCAAAATTCACTTAACAGGTGTCTTGCTTAGCAGTGGAAACTCAAATGGGCTCCATTGTGGTTGTAAACCGAGAACTACCTATATCAGGGGTCTTCAAACCTGGCCCTTTTATGACTTGTGGACTTCAACTCCCAGAATTCCTGGCTCAGCCAGGAATTCTGGGAGTTGAAGTCCACAAGTCATAAAAGGGCCAGATTTGAAGACCCCCCTGATCTATATAGATTTTGAAAGCACCTTTGCTTTCCCAAAATGTTCAACAGGTGATGCGTAACCCACGTAGGACTTGAGCCAACTGCCACCTGCTGCCGATCCATCTGGCATCTTCTCCTTTGTTAACATATGCTAATGAGCTGGGTTCTAATACCTGGGTTTCTGGAAAGCCTTAGAGAGTCAGGATGATAAATAGCTTGTTTTCTGAGACATTGTGGCTGAATAATAAAGCTGGAGGGGGTTCAGGGGGGGTAACATGCCTCTGCATTGAATTGGAGGGTACCTTGAGGTCCTCAAGCCCAACCCTGGCTAAAGCAGAGCATCTTAAAGTATGCTGGCTGGGGAATTCTGGGAGTTGAAGTCCATCTGTCTTTAAGCATGCTGGCTGGGGAATTCTGGGAGTTGAGGTCCACCCATCTTAAAGCATGCTGGCTGGGGAATTCTGGGAGTGGACATCTACCCCTCTTAAAGCATGCTGGCTGGGGAATTCTGGGAGTGGAAGTCCACCCATCTTTAAGCATGGTGGCTGGGGAATTCTGGGAGTTGAAGTCCACCCCTCTTAAAGCATGCTGGCTGGGGAATTCTGGGAATGGAAGTCCACCCCTCTTAAAGCATGCTGGCTGGGGAATTCTGGGAGTTGAAGTCCATCTGTCTTTAAGCATGCTGGCTGGGGGATTCTGGGACTTGAACTCCACCCATCTTAACCTTGGCAAGGTTAAAAACACTGCTAAAGAGAATTCTTAATTTGCATTCTGCTATTTTTCCAGGCAAGAAAGCTACTTAGCCAGCTCAAGCTCTGAATACTAATTTCTCTGTTACCCACAAACCACATTCTGTGTCTAAGGAATGCAAACGGTTTCACCTCAGGACATCCGCTACAGGGCATTGCATACCAAAATACCTAGACACACAGAAATCACTCTGCTAAACACCTAATTCCCACAGCACTGTCTTATATCTAAGGGTAATAATAATAATAATAATAATAATAATAATAATAATAATAATAATAATAATAATATAGTTGGAAGGGACCTTGGAGGTCATCTATTCCAACCCCCTGCTCAGGCAGGAAACCCTATACCATTTCGGACAAACGGCTGTCCAGTCTCTTCTTAAAAACTTCCAGTGTTGGAGCATTCACCGTTTCTGGAGGCAGGTGGTTCCACTGGTTAATTGTTCTCACTGTCACGAAGTTTCTCCTTAGTTCTAGGTTGCTTCTCTCCTTGATGAGTTTCCATCCGTTGCTTCTTGTCCGGCCTTAAGGCGCTTTGGAGAATAGCTTGACTGCCTCTTCTTTGGGGCAGCCCCTGAGATACTGGAAGGCTGCTATCATGTCCCCCCTCGTCCTTCTCTTCATTAAACCAGACATACCCAATTCCAACAACCGTTCTTTATACGATTTAGCCTCCAGTCCTCTAATCATCTTTGTTGGTCTATTGTTACTCTGCATGGATATTTATCCATGTATTAGGACTGTATTATTATTGTCTTTCTCATCTTTCCTACTACCTTCTCCTATTGGCTGTTTGCAAGCAGGACAAGAAGTACTGCATGGAAACTAATCAAGGAGAGAAGCAACCTAGAACTAAGGAGGAATTTCCTGACAGTTAGAACAATTAACCAGTGGAACAACCTGCCTCCAGAAGTTGTGAGTGCTCCAACACTGGAGGTTTTCAAGAAGGGACTGGACAACCACTTGTCTAAAATGATATGGGGTCTCCTTCTTGAGCAGGGGGTTGGACTAGACGACCTCCAAGGTCCCTTCCAACTATTCTATTCTATTCCATTCCATTCCATTCCATTCCATTCCATATTTTCTATTCTATTCTATTCTATTCTATTCTATTCTATTCTATTCTATTCCATTCTATTCCATATTTTCTATTCTATTCTATTCCATTCCATTCCATTCCATATTTTCTATTCTATTCCATTCCATTCCATTCCATATTTTCTATTCTATTCTATTCTATTCTATATCATTCCATTCCATTCCATTCCATCCTTCAAAAACCAGATGGCCACTGCAGATTCTGCATTCCCTTCCAAGGCAAGGCCTTCCCCCCCACACACATCTGCTGAACGGGATGTCACATTTAATCATCCCTAATTATGCTGAGTTTTCTCTTCTGCAGTTTTAGCTCATTGGGGAAAAACAATAGCTGCGTTGGGAGGCTGTAATTAAGATACGTTTTGACACGGCCCCTGTTTGAAGCATTATTTCCACGTACACCAGCGAGAGAGACAGTGTGTGCACAGGGGAGATTCTCACACGCACACATATATACAAACACGAACCACAAACACATCAAATTGGCGACCGCGAAGGGACGTTTCCAGCAATTTTCCATTCGTTAGCAGAGAAAGATCCTGTAATTTAGTAATACAGGCCATCCTTGACTTACAACCACTTGTTTAGTGACCATTTAAAACCGCACTGAAAAAAGTGACTTATGACTGTTTTTCACACTTTACGACCGTTGCAGTCACGCGATCAAAATTCAGACTCTGGGCAACTGGCTCATATGTATGTCGGTTGCAATGTCCCGGGGTGACGTGATCCCTTTCTGACGAGCAAAGTCAATGGGGGAAGCCAGATTCGCTTAACAACCGTGTGACTAACTTATCAACTGCAGCGATTCACTTAATGACGGTGGCAAGCAAGGTCATAAAATGGGGCAAAACTCACTTAACAACTGTCTCGCGTAGCAATGGAAATTTCGGGCTGAGTTTTGGTCGTAAGTCAAGGTCTACCTATATGTTGTCTCGTTGCTTCTTGAAAAAGAACTTTTTTCTTCCTCGGAGTCTAGACTACATTCCACGACACAACGTGAGCAACAATGGCTTAGACAAGATTTACCAGTGAAGTTGTAAAAGATTAAAGGGTTAATTTCAGAATAACAGAATTGGAACGTGCCTCGGAGGTCTTCTAGTCCCACCCCGGGCTCCTCCTTCTCTTGATTTCACAGCTCAAATCGTTTCACATCCCTGCTGTGAACCATCCAGGTTAAGCCATTGCTAATGCTGCGTTAGGAAGAGGTTATGCTGAATTGACGCTCTTACTAACCCTTTGTGCTGCCCGATTGTTGCCTTGTTCATCCATCTCCCGTCTCCTCTTGGGTGCCTTTCAGAATCTCGGTTTGCGACGAAGACAAATTCCGCCACAACGAGTTTATTGGCGAAACGAGGATCCCTCTGAAGAAACTGAAGCCCAACCAGACTAAGAAATTCAACATTTGCCTGGAGAAACAGCTTCCGGTGAGTGACAGTGAAAAGGGGAACTCCTTGCCTGCAGAAGTTGTGAATGTTCCAGCATGTGAAGTGTTTTAAGTAGAGACTGGACAGCCATTTGTCTGAAATGGTGTCGGGTTTCCTGCCTGAGCAGGGGGTTGGACTAGATGACCTCCAAGGTGCCGTCCAACTCATGTTATTCTGTATTCTGCATTTCTGACAGTTAGAACAATTAACCAGTGGAACAACTTGCCTCCAGATATTGTGGGTGCTTCAACACTAAAGGTCTTTAAGAAGAGACTGGATAGCCATTTGTCTGAAATGGTATATAGAGTTTCCTGCCTGAGCAGGGGGTTGGATTAGAAGACCTCTAAGGTCCCGTCCAACTCATGTTATTCTGTATTCTGTATTTCTGACAGAACAATTAACCAGTGGAACAACCTGCCTCCAGATATTGTGGCTGCTTCAACATTGGAGGTTTTTAAGAAGACACTGGACAACGATTTGTCTGAAATGGTATAGGGTTTCCTGCCTGAGCAGGGGGTTGGACTAGATGACCTCCAAGGTCCCGTCCAACTCTTGTTATTCTGTATTTCTGACAGTTAGAACAATTAACCAGTGGAACAACTTGCCTCCAGATATTGTGGCTGCTTCAACTCTAGAGGTTTTTAAGAAGAGATTGGACAACGATTTGTCTGAAATGGTATAGGGTTTCCTGCCTGAGCAGGGGGTTGGACTAGATGACCTCCAAGGTCCCGTCCAACTCTTGTTATTCTGTATTTCTGACAGTTAGAACAATTAACCAGTGGAACAACTTGCCTCCAGATATTGTGGCTGCTTCAACTCTAGAGGTTTTTAAGAAGAGATTGGACAGCCATTTGTCTGAAATGGTATAATTTTTCCTGCCTGAGCAGGGGGTTGGACTAGATGACCTCCAAGGTCCCTTCCGACTCTGTTTTTCTATATTCTGTATTCTGATTGCTATACAGGTAGTCCTCGATTTACAGCCATTTCGTTTAGTGACCGTTCCAAGTTACGACAGCACTGAAAAAGGAGGCTTATGACTGAAGCTTGTACTTACGACCGTTGCAGCCTCCCCACATGTGATCCAGGGATCATGTGATCACAATTTGGGCGCTTGGCAACCAGCATGTATTTATAAGGGTCTCAGCATCCCAGGGTCATGTGATGCCCATTGACAACCTTCCCAGGCAGCTTCCAAGAAGCAAAGTCAAAGGGGGAAGCCAGGTTCGCTTAACGACCACATGATTCGCTTAACAACCATAGCAAATAAGGTCACAAAATCAGGCACGGCTTGACTTAACTCAGTGTTTCTCAACCTTGACAATTTTAAGGCACGTGGACTTCAACTCCCAGAATTCCACAGCCAGCATTGCTGGCTGTGGAATTCTGGGAGTTGAAGTCCACGTGCCTTAAAATTGTCAAGGTTGAGAAACATTGATTTAACTGCTTTGTGTAGCAATACAAATTCTAATCCCCATTGTGGATTAGTAAGTCGAGGACTATCTGTAGCAAGTTAATAAACACCAACGGTCCAAATAAGTCAAAAATAACAATCTGGTCAGTGCGGGGAGGGTGGGGAGTGTAGGGGAAACCAACAAAGAAAAAAAAATTAAAATCAAAGAAAACATAGCTGAGTCCTGGGAAAGTAGAAAAAAAGGGAAAAAAAAGACATTTATTTATGATTTCTTGCATTCTCTATTTTCTGACCAGTTCCAGCCCTTACTAGTAGTCCTGGCACTTGTGCAACCTTCTTAAAAAAAAAACAATGACAGGATTTCATATGCCCAGCCCCCATTGCCATCTTGACTTTTTTGACCCTCTTCCCTCTGCAGACTCCCTCAGGTGCTGCTGTGTAGGCTTCCCTTCCTTCTAACAGTTCTCCACTTGCTCTTTCATAATTTGCTACTGACCAGGTTTTCCAGCCATTTTGGGCCCTGCAAAATTGAACTCAAGTGTTTCCACACCTTCCATCCTGTGTGGATTTAGATCCCCAGAATTTCCATTCCTTGCTGGCTGGGGGATTCTGGGAGCTGAAGTCCACGCTGCTTCAAGTTTCTAAGGTTGAGAAACACTAGTCCCAAATGGAAGAAGGGAGGGAGGGAGGGAGGAAGGAAGGAAGGAAGGAAGGAAGGAAGGAAGGAAGGAAGGAAGGAAGGAAAAAGAAGGGAGGGATAGAGAGAGGGAGAAAGGGAGGAAAAGAGAAAATAGGAAGGAAGGAAAAGGGGGGAGTGAGGAAGAAAGGAGAAAAGAAAAGTGAGGGAGGAAGAAAGGGAGGAAAAGAAAAAAGGAAGGAAGGAAGGAAAAAAGAAAGAAATAAAAGAAGGAAACAAGGTAGGATAGGAAAGAGAAAGAAAGAAAGAAGGAAAGAAAGAAAGAAGGAAAGTGGAAGGGAAGGAGGGAGGGAGGAGAAAGAAGGAGGGAGGGAAGGAAGGAAGGAAGGAAGGAAGAAAAAGAAGAGGGAAGGAAGGAGAGAAAGAGAAAACGAGGTGGAGGTACTTGGAAAGAAAGAAAAGAATAAAGGAAGGAAGGAAGGAAGGAAAGAAAAAGAAGGGAGGGAGAGAGGGAGAAAGGGAGGAAAAGAGAAAAAAGGAAGGAAGGAAAAGGGAGTAAGGAAGGAAGGGAGAAAAGAAAAGAAGGGAGGGAGGAAGAAAGGAAAAGAAAAAAGGAAGGAAGGAAAAAAGAAAGAAATAAAAGAAGGAAACAAGGTAGGATAGGAAAGAGAAAGAAAGAAGGAGAGAAAGAAAGAAGGAAAGTGGAAGGGAAGGAGGGAGGGAGGGAGGAGAAAGAAGGAGGGAGGGAAGGAAGGAAGGAAGAAAAAGAAGAGGGAAGGAAGGAGAGAAAGAGAAAACGAGGTGGAGATATTTGGAAAGAAAGAAAAGAATAAAGGAAGGAAGGAAGGAAGGAAAGAAAGAAAAAGAAGGGAGGGAGAGAGGGAGAAAGGGAGGAAAAGAGAAAAAAGGAAGGAAGGAAAAGGGGGAGTAAGGAAGGAAGGGAGAAAAGAAAAGAAGGGAGGGAGGAAGAAAGGGAGGAAAAGAAAAAAGGAAGGAAGGAAAAAAGAAATAAATAAAAGAAGGAAACAAGGTAGGATAGGAAAGAGAAAGAAAGGAGAGAAAGAAAGAAGGAAAGTGGAAGGGAAGGAGGGAGGGAGGAGAAAGAAGGAGGGAAGGAAGAAAGAAGGAGGGAAGGAAGGAGAGAAAGAGAAAACAAGAGATGGAGGTACTTGGAAAGAAAGAAAAGAATAAAGGAAGGAAGGAAGGAAGGAAGGAAGGAAGGAAGGAAGGAAGGAAGGAAGGAAGGAAGGAAGGAAGATGAAACGAAACGAAATGAAATTGTGGAAACTGCTCAAGAGTTCTTGATGAGCAATTGCAGAGAAATATGTGTGGGAGGCCAGAGATGGAGAGAAACGCTCTCCGTGGGACTTAAGCGTAAGAAGATTGCTTTTTCTCTAGTCTCAGGCTGATGGCTGGAAGGATGAGTGTCTCCCTGCCTTGATCCAAGAGCCTCTTCTTCTCCCCCCCCCCCCATTTTCCAAATTCAAATTAAGCAGGTCACTTTTACAAAACCCCAATTGCATCCGCAAAGCCCCTGGACAGCCCCTCTGCTCTTAAGTCTCTTCTCAGCCGGCTGAAATTCAACTGACTTACTTTCTCACCCAGGTCCAGAATCCTGCTTTCCCGCCGAGCTACTAATTACTCTCCCTTTTTATTTTATTTTTATTTTATTGACAGCCGTGCCTTCCCCCCCGTTTCTTCAGAATCAAGTAAAATCAGAGAAGAAAAGGACTTTTTCTTCGGAATAAAATCTCTGAATGGGAAAAGGGGTTACCAGAATCCTGATTTTTTGCCTTACAAGTCGTTTGTTTAGTGGCCATTTGAAGCTACCATAGCACTCCAAGAAGTGACTTATGACTGTTTTTCACACTGGCGACCGCTTGCAGCAACCCTACGGTCTCGCGATCAAAATTTGGACTCACATTTATCACAGTGACAGCATCCCGGGCTCCTGTGATCACCTTCTGGGGACCTTTTGACAAGCAGAGTCAATGGGGGATGGAAAGCCAGATGCTCTTATCAGTTGTCGTTTTCAGGGGGTCTTCAAGGGGTGCCCCAGGGAGAGTGCGTTGCAGTAGCTCAGCCTAGAGGAGAGAAGAGTGGGCAGCCCGCTTGCTGATGGTGGGACCTGCAGAAGGCCTGCCAAGATGGTTGGCTGGACAGTACCCAGATGTAATGGTCTGTGGGAATAACCTGGAGCAGAGGACCCCAATCATTTGGGCACCAGGGACCAGTTTATTTATTTATTTATTTATGAGACTTATATACCGCTTTAAGTGCAAGCACTCTCTAAGCGGTGTACACCAGTAAGCAATGTATATATATATTTTACATTGCCCCCAACAATCTGGGTCCTCATTTTACCTACCCCGGAAGGATGGAAGGCTGAATCAACCTTGAGCCGGTGAGATTTGAACCGCTGACCTGCTGAACACAGTCAGCTAAAGTGGCCTGCAGTACTGCACTCTAACTGCTGCGGCACCTCGGAGGTTTTTCCACGGACCAGAGGGTGCGTGGTTTTGTGTGCTGCCTGCATCTCGCGGATGGGGCTTTGCTTGTTTGTGGGGACCAGTTGCTGGCATGCCTCGGGGATTGGGGACTCCTGACCTGGAGGAACAGGAAGAATGCAAGCAGAACTAGGGTCAGAAAAAAGAAATTTGAGTCCAGAGCAGAAATGTAATTTGAGAAAGCACCATATATTTTAACCCTCTCTAGTTCTCTTGAACACAAAAGGCCGGGAGCGGGAGGTGCTGTTTGCAACATTCTGTTATTGTGGCCCTATAATAAAAGTAGTACAGATAGTCCGCACTTTTTTTAAAAAAAAGTTTTATTGATTTTCTAATTTTACATTTAAATATTTAAAAAGCAATATGGCAGCTGAGTTAATCGATAATTCAATGACACACAAGTATCTTTGGTACAAGTCTCAAACTATCACATTAAATATTTCCTCTCTTTTCCCCTTCGTATTTTCTGTCTCATGTTTAAACTAATATAATTCTTATTATATCAATTAAATAAAAATAACATTCTTACATTTATCAATAATTTTTAGCTTATACATATCCTGGTTATTTTAACATTCAGTCTTGATGGGCAATCAATGTCCTTATTAGTTTTTCCCAATTTTTAGTTTCCCATTAATATTTAAATTTAAGATTTAATATTTACAATGTCCAAGTTTTAAGTAACCGAAGTTCCCTTTATCACAATTCGTCACGAAATCTAATATTCAGGAATATACGTCTTACCTATTGGAATATATTCTATTTCTCATCATCTTACATCATCTAATGAATAATACAGTATGACATTCTTATTTTCTACTAATTTCCAAATGTCTTAAATTTAGTAACCAAAATTTCTCTTGTTTCAACATCAAATACTTCCTCTCTTTTTCTCTTAATGTCTACTATCTCATATTTCAGCTAGTACAGTTCTTAAGTTATATCAGAGCAGAAATGTAATTTGAGAAAGTATCCAGTTTTGGTCACCACGATGTAAAAAAGATGTTGAGACTCTAGAAAGAGTACAGAGAAGAGCAACAAAGATGATCAGGGGACTGGAGGCTAAAACATACAAGGAACGGTTGCTGGAATTGGGAATGTCTAGTTTAATGAAGAGAAGGACGAGGGGGGACATGATAGCAGTCTTCCAGTATCTCAGGGGCTGCCCCAAAGAAGAGGGAATCAAGCTATTCTCCAAAGCGCCTGAAGGCAGGACAAGAAACAACGGATGGAAGCTCATCAAGGAGAGAAGCAACCTAGAACTAAGGAGAAACTTCCTGACAGTTAGAACAATTAACCAGTGGAACAATCTGCCTCCAGAAGCAGTAAATGCTCCAACACTGGAAGTTTTTAAGAAGAGACTGGACAGCCATTTGTCCAAAATGGTATAGGGTTGGGGGTTGGACTAGATGACCTTCAAGGTCCCTTCCAATTTTTATTATTATTATGGATCATCGCACAGTCAGCCAGATGTTCAGACTGGATTTGGCATTTTGTCTACCTATCCAGTCCTTACCCAGGACCTGGGATAGGCAGATGTGGATGTTTGATGGTATTACAGATATCGTCGCAGGATGGAAGCAGTTCCTAGCAAGGCCGCCTTTTGCAATTGACTAATAGCGAATTTGTCAATGCCAATGGTGTTCAAGTGGTGCTCCAGTTGTTTTGGGATTGCACCCAAGGAGCCTATGACTATTGGTACTACCCTTGCTTGCTTTTGCCACAGTCTTTCTATTTCTATTTGTAGGTCTTTGTATTTTGTTATCTTCTCCAGTTCTTTCTCGTCTATTCTGCTGTCTCCAGGCACTGCCACGTCCACTATCCAGACTTTTTTGTCTTTCTTATCGACAATTGTTAAGTCTGGGGTGTTATGTTGCAGGTGCTTGTCTGTTTGAATTCTGAAGTCCCAGAGCAGTTTAATTTTATCATTTTCTATGACTTTCTCTATTTTATGATCCCACCAGTTTTTGCTTACAGGCAAATGATATTTTTTGCAGATCTTCCAATGCACCATTGTTGCTACTTTGTCATGCCGCTGCTTGTAGTCAGTCTGTGCAATCTTCTTGCAACAGCTTACCAAGTGGTCCACTGTTTCTTCAGCTTCTTTGCATAGGCGGCACTTACTGTCTGTTGCTGTCTTCTCAATTTTGACTTTGTATGCATTTGTCCTTAAGGCTTGGTCTTGTGCAGCCAGAATTAGTCCCTCGGTCTCTTTCTTCAATTTTCCTGCTCTTAGCCATTGCCAGGTTTTATTATTATCTGCTTTCCCAGCTATTTTTTTCATGTATTGGCCATGTAGTGCTTTGTCTTCCCATGCCTCTATTCTGTTCTTCATTTGGTCTTTCTTGTAGGCCAGTTTGGTCTCTCCAGTAGTTAGTAAGCCTTCCTGATATACTAATTTCAGTGCATCTTCATCATTGTTCTTCAGATATTCTTCCAAAGCCATTTTTTCTTCTTCAACCATCTGATGTACTTGTAGCATTCCACGCCCACCTATTTGCCTTGGTAGATAAAGTCTGTCAATGTCACTGCATGGATGAAGGGCATGATTCATTGTCATTATTTTTCTGGTCTGCCTATCCATTGCTTTTAGTTCTGCTTGAGTCCAGTCCACTATTCCAGCTGTGTACCTAATGACTGGGATTGCCCAGGTGTTGATTGCCTTTATGGTATTTCCTCCATTGAGTTTGGACTTTAAGATCTTCTTCACTCTCTTGATGTATTCACCTCTAATCTTTTTCTTGACTTCAGTGTGCTTGATGTTGTCAGCTTGAAGGATACCCAAGTATTTGTAGTACTCTTCCTCATCCAGACTCTTAATGTTATTTTCGTGTGGCATCTTGATTCCTTCAGTTTTCATTATTTTTCCTTGTTTGATAGTAAGTGTGGCACATTTGTCCAAGCCAAACTCCATTACAATATCTTGGCTATATATACGGACAGTGTTGTATATATATTTTTTATTTTATTATTATTATTATTATCAATCATCGCACAGTCAGCCAGATGTTCAGACTGGATTTGGCATTTTGTCTACCTATCGAGTCCTTACCCAGGACCTGGGATAGGCAGATGTGGATGTTTGATGGTATTACAGGTATCGTCGCAGGATGGAAGCAGTTCCTCCTCGTCTTGTTGGACTTGATCTGTAGTAACAGATCATTATTTCTTTGTTTTCAATCACTGTGTATCTGCGACGGGTAAACACCTTTTCTTCCAGTAGTTCTGCAGCTGCTGGCCCTGGTTGCTCAGCCAACAGTCCTGAGTCCTGTAACCCATTTTTCACCAGATATCCAGGAACTCCAATATCTAGTGCGGACCTTGTTAACCCGGGCGACGTCCGAGCCGGTATGGCATTCTGTAATTTACGTCTCACCATATTTTTTATGGGAGAGACACTCTTTGTCTGACTCCTCTGATGAGACCTGTCCAGTATGGTTGAACCTCTGGCATAGCTCTCATCTTCCTCAGAGTACACAAGCCCCACAACCACGTCAAGGTAGTGCCTCACTGGGGGATGATGATGATGATGATGATGATTATTATTATTATTATTATTTCTTGTGCTTTGGAAAATTAGCCAACCCCATCTTCTTTGTGGCAGCCCCCCAAATATTGGAACACTGCTATTATGTCACCCCTAGTTTTTCTTTCCGCTAGATTAGACAGGCCCAGTTCCCACAACCGCTCTTCGTACATTTTAGCCTCCGGGCCTCTAATCTTTGTTGCTCTTTGCCCTCTTTCAACATCTCTTTTGTATCGTATTTTGCTCTTGGGAGATCATCTCTTCTTGGATGTTGGGCTTCCAGGCAGAAATTTGGGCCTGAGCCATTTTGTTTCCTTCTCTGTTCACAGATGGACAAAATGGAAGACAAGTCGTTGGAGGAACGTGGCCGGATCCTTGTTTCCTTGAAATACAGTTCTCAAAAACAGGGCCTGCTGGTCGGCATCGTCCGCTGTGCCCACTTGGCTGCCATGGATGCCAACGGTTACTCCGATCCCTATGTGAAAACGTGAGTACAGTTTAGAGCACGAGGGTCCCCAAACTTGGTCACGTCAAGATGTGTGGACTTCAACTCCCAGAATTCCTCTGCCAGCCATGCGGGTGGAGGAATTCTGGGAGTTGGTCCACATGGTGGCTGAGGAATTCTGGGAGTTGAAGTCCACATGGTTGCTGAGGAATTCTGGGAGTTGAAGTCCACATGAGGGCTAAGGAATTCTGGGAGTTAAAGTCTACATGGTGGCTGAGGAATTCTGGGAGTTGAAGTCCACATGATGGCTGAGGAATTTTGGGAGTTGAAGTCCACATGCCGGCAGAGGAATTCTGGGAGTTGAAATCCACATGCTGGCGGAGGAATTCTGGGAATTGAAGTCCACATGTTGGCTGAGGAATTCTGGGAGTTGAAGTCCACATGATGGCTAAGGAATTCTGGGAGTTAAAGTCTACATGGTGGCTGAGGAATTTTGGGAGTTGAAGTCCACATGCCGGCAGAGGAATTCTGGGAGTTGAAATCCACATGCTGGCGGAGGAATTCTGGGAATTAAAGTCCACATGCTGGCTGAGAAATTCTGGGAGTTGAAGTCCACATGATGGCTAAGGAATTCTGGGAGTTAAAGTCTACATTGTGGCTGAGGAATTCTGGGAGTTGAAGTCCACATACTAGCTGAGGAATTCTGGGAGTTTGAGTCCACATGCTGGCTGAGGAATTCTGGGAGTTGGAAGTTCACCTGTCGGCTGAGGAATTCTGGTAGTCCACATGATGGCTGAGGAATTCTGGGAGTTGTAGTCCGCATGCTGGCAGAGGAATTCTGGGAATTGAAGTCCACATGCTGCTGAGGAATTCTGGGAGTTAAAGTCCATCTGGTAGCTGAGGAATTTTGGAAATGTAAGACCACACAGCTGGCTGAGGAATTCTGGGAGTCTACCCGTCTTAAAGTGGCCATCTTTGGAGACCCCTGGTTCAAAGCAGTGTTCCTCAACCTCAGCAGCTTTAAGATGTGTGGACTTCAACTCCCAGAATTCTCCATCTCGCAAGGAAATTTCAGTGCTTCAGGAACAAGCTTATCAGCACACATATTAATCCCTCTCATTCAGCCCAGCCCACATCACAGGGTTGTTGTTAGGGAAGAATAGGAGGAGGAAGGAATAGAGGTAGTCCTTGACTTACAACTTAATGACCATAGTCCTCAATTACAATTTAAGGACCGTTCGAAGTTACAACGGCAGTGAAAAAAGTGACGTATGTCCTTTTTTCACACTTATGACTGTTGCAGCATCCCTGTGGTCAACATGATCAAAATTCAGACGCTTGGCAACTGACTCGTATTTATGACCGTTGCAGTGTCCCGGGGTCACGTGATCCCCTTTTGCAATCTTCTGACGAGCAAAGTCAATGGGGAAGCCGGATTCACTTCATGACCGTGTGACTCACTTAACAACTGCAGTGATTCACTTGACAACTGTGCAAGAAAGGTTGTAAAATGGAGCCAAACTCACTTAACAAATGTCTCGCTTAACAACATAAATGTTGGGCTCAATTCTGGTCCTAAATTGAGGACTTCTTGTATACCTTTCTAGTCTCAAACGGAAGCAGGCGGAAATCCATCCGGCAATTTGTTCACATGGAAAGGAACCTCGTCCTGTGGTGGATCTTTTTTTGCCCATTGAGTCAAGCCAACTCATTGCTGCTTGTTCAACAAACCAAGGTTTAAACGCAGTTTGATGGGCGATCCCAGCCTTGCTCTCTTGGGTAACATCCAAGCATTTAATTTTTCTCCTCCATTTTTCAGCTGTGCTCTTTGTGCCAGGCAAAACTGATTTATTCCACAAAACTTTTAATCTCCAAGCTTTATAGCGCACGGGGTAGATTTATAAGGCAATCCACAAGATCATAATTTTTAAATACACACGTAGGCCCACACGCACACACACGCAGGAACTACAAAGGAAAAGAGATAAATAAATATGGTAATAAAACCGCAAGACGATAAAACAGCCACCGAGACCTACAGGATTAAATGCCAGAGCAGCCATAAAGCAGTGTGCTCCTTCTGTTTAATTAAAAACTCCAGAGAAAATAATTGCTTGATTCTAGTGCCTCAATTAAAGGCTGCAGTTTTACATTGCCTGGAAGAAAATGGGATTTTGTTAAATCCTAGAGTGGGGGAGGTCCCTCGAGGTCATCTAGTCCAGAGGTCACCAATCTTTCTTGGTTGGTAGACCAGAGGAAAAGGGAGGGGGAAGCATTTTATGTGCGGGTATACGCACGGGACCTCAAGCATGCCCATGGCGCAAACGGGGAGACTAGCACTTGCATGATACTCGCTAGCCCTGCCCTGTTCTTGTGCACAGTGTCCTGTTTCTGCGCCCCGAGGCGCAGCGTTGGCCTGTGTTCACAAACCAAGGCGCAGCAGCCCACAGGTTGGGACCCCTGATCTAGTCCAATCCATGCGTCTATCATCTGTCTGTCTGTCTGTCTATCTATTTGTCGATCTATCGATCTATCTATTTACTATGTTTATAAACAACTCAAGGCAGAGAACATACTTAATCCTCCTTTTTCCTATTTTTCCAACAACTGTGTGAGTCTCTGTCTCCTGATGATTGGCCCAAAGTCACCCAGCCGGCTTTCACGCCTAAGGCAGGACTAGAACTCACCGTCTCCTCTTGATTGCTCCAAAATCACTCAGCCAGCCCTTATGCCTAAGGCAGGACTAGAACTGTCCTGGTGATTGGTCCAAAGTCACCCAGCCAGCTTTCATACCTAAGGCGGGATTAGAACTCACCGTCTCCTGGTTTCTAACCTGATGACTTAACCACTAGACCAGACTCCCTCTCTGCCCAATACCTTTTGAACACGTCTAGCAAAGGGCAGCCCAGTTTCTCTGCAGGCCATTGATGTCTCCCTCTTTTGCCTAGGGTCAGGGGTAGGCAATCTGGGCTCTTTTATGACTAGTGGACTTCAACTCCCAGAATTCCTGAGCCAGCCATGCTGAGGGGAAAGGGAGAGGTTCCCATGCTGAGCCATGCTGGCTCAGGAATTCTGGGAGTTGAAGTCCACAAGTCATAAAAGAGCCAAGATTGCCTACCCCTGGCCTAGGGTCAGGGCAGTGATCAAGTGCCCAAGCAATTGGTTCTTGTGGATCCACAGACAATGAGCCCTCCAGTAAATAAAGGAATTTTAAGCTTTTAATTGGAGCTCAAAGCCAGCTGAGTGACTTACGACCATTTTTCAGACTTACTGACTGTTGCATGGTCACCTGATTTATATTCAAACGCTTGGCAGCGGACTCATTTATGATGGTCGCAGTGTCCCGGGGTCCTGTGATCCCCTTTTGTGACCTTCTCACAAGCAAAGTCAATGGATCATTTCACGACCGGGTTACTAATCTAACAACTGCAGTGATTCACTTAACGAAAGTCATAAAATGGGGCCAAACTCATTTAACAAATTTCTCCCCCTTAGCAACATAAACTTTGGGATTAATAGTGGTCGTAAGTCGAGGACTACCCGTGTTATGAAGCACCTGAAGGCAGGATAAGAAGCAAGGGATGGAAACTAGTCAAGGAAAGAAGCAGCCGAGATGGTTAGAAATTAACCAGTGGAACGACTTGCCTCCAGAAGTTGTGGGTGTTCCAACACTGGAGGTTTTTAAGAAGAGGTTGGACAACCATCTGTCTGAAATGGTGTAGGCAGGGTCTCCTGCTTGGGGGGGGGGGTTGGACTAGATGACCTCCAAGGTCCCTTCCAACTCTATTACTCTAATTCTAATTCAATGGAACAAGGCTGTGGGTGCTGCATCACTGGAGGTTTTTAAGAAGAGACTGGACAGCCATCTGTCTGAAATGGTATAGGGTCTCCTGCCTGAGCAGGGGGTTGGGCTAGATGACCTCCAAGGTCCCTTCCAACTCTGTTATTCTGTTATTATCTGAAACCTGATTTATGGCCCCGGTAACAGAACTGGATGTTTTTCTTTGCAGCTACTTGAAACCGGACGAGGACAAGAAATCTAAGCATAAGACCGCCGTTAAGAAGAAAACCCTCAACCCAGAATTTAATGAGGTATGTCTGCCGGGATATTTTCTGTGTCAAAGGGAGAACTTTGGGATGGATGGAATCTAACGGTAAGCCTGTCTCTGAAAGATTAACCTGGATGGAGCTGCAAATATCTCTTAATATCTCTAAATATCTCTGCAAGCCTATGTCTGAAATGATAACCAGAACAGAGCATCAAATATCTTGGCAACATCTTAAGACGGGTGGACCACAACTCCCAGAATTTCCCAGCCAGCTTGTTGGCTGGGGATTTCTGGGAGTTGTAGTCCACTTTAAAATGGTACCGTTTGAGAAAGGCTTCTGTAATGGTTGGTACATGACACGTTTGCCCATAATCCCCACCCCACCCCGAATGTGAAAAATCTGGGCATATCTCACTTTTTTCGGTGCCATTGTAACTTCAAACGGTCACTAAATAAAGCATTATAGGTCGAGGATTATCTATATTTCTTAGCCTTTGCATTAGTGGACAATAAATATGAGCCAGCCGTGTGCTGCAGCTGCCAAAAAGGCCAACAGAGTGCTAGGCTGCATTGACAGAGGGATAGAATCAAGATCAGGTGAAGGGTTAATACCACTTTACAAGGCCTTGGTAAGGCCACACTTGGAATACGGCATCCAGTTTTGGTCACCACGATGTGAAAAAGATGTTGAGACTCTAGAAAGAGTGCAGAGAAGAGCAACAAAGAGGATTAGGGGACTGGAGGCTAAAACATATAAGGAACAGTTGCTGGAATTGGGTATGTCTAGTTTAATGAAGAGAAGGACAAAGGGGGACAGGATAGCAGTCTTCCAGTATCTCAGGGGCTGCCCCAAAGAAGAGGGAGTCAAGCTATTCTCCAAAGCGCCTGAAGGCAGGACAAGAAGCGACGGATGGAAACTAATCAAGGAGAGAAGCAACCTGGAACTAAGGAGAAACTTCCTGACAGTGAGGACAATTAACCAGTGGAACAACCTGCCTCCGGAAGCAGTGAATGCTCCAACACTGGAAGTTTTTAAGAAGAGACTGGACAGCCATTTGTCCGAAATGGTATAAGGTTTCCTGCCTGAGTAGGGGGTTGGACTAGATGACCTCCAAGGCCCCTTCCAACTTTATTATTATTATTATTATACCCTAAAAGAAAGGGAGGACACAGTGATTTCTAGACAATAAGTAATCAGTGGAAAAGACTTCCCTCCAGAAGTTGTGGGTGCTCCATGTTTTAGGAAGAGACTGGAGGGGCGTTTCTCTGAAACGGTATAGGGTATGAGCAGGGGGTTGGACTAGAAGACCTCCAAGGTCCCCTTCCAACTCTGTTATTCTGTATTCTAATTGTGAATGACAATGGCTCGTTTCGTCGTTTAAAAAAACCGACCGAGACTTGTTTATTTCTGCTATAGGTCTGCGATTTCATTTTGGATTGACTAATTTTCCTCCCGTCTGAATTTCTCTTTTGCAGGAATTTTGCTATGAGATAAAGCATGGAGATTTGGCCAAAAAGACCTTGGAAGTAACAGTCTGGGATTACGACATTGGAAAATCCAACGACTTCATCGGTAAATCTGAATTCTCAAGTTGAACTGAGGGTGGCTCTGGATGGGAACTCGGGGCCCCCACAGTGCCGTTTTGTAGTGGATCACACGAATTCTCATTGCCTCTGATTCTATTGTCATCACACACTCCAAGCCTTGTTGCAAAAAACTCCTTCTTAAGTCCACCCAACACCATTTATGTTCCAAATTAGGTCAGGATTTCCTACACTTGGCAATCTTAAGACACATGGACTTCCACTCCCAGTATTCCCCAGCCAGCCTGCATTAAGAGGGGTGGACGTCCACTCCCAGAATTCCCCAGTCAGCATGCTTTAAGATGGGTGGACTTCCACTCCCAGAATTCCCCAGCCAACCTGCATTAAAAGGGGGGGATTTCCACTCCCAGAATCCCCCAGCCAGTATGCTTTAAGAGGGGTGGACTTCCACTCCCAGAATTCCCCAGCCAGCCTGCTTTAGGAGAGGTGGACTTCCACTCCCAGAATTCCCCAGCCCGCATGCTTTAAGATGTGTGGATTTCAACTCCCAGAATCCCCCAGTCCGCCTGCTTTAAGAGGGGTGGACTTCCACTCCCAGAATTCCCCAGCCAGCCTGCTTTAAAAGGGGGGGGATTTCAACTCCCAGAATTCCCCATCCAGCATGTTTTAAGAGGGGTGGACTTCCACTCCCAGCATCCCCCAGCCAGCCTGTGTCATGCCCCTGTCGGAGCCTAAATATGCCAGGAAGATGAGCCGAAACTGGAGCCAATGGGGAGGCTTTGTTGTTGTTGGCTTGGCAGGAATATGGGGAGGAGCAGGCCGAGGCAGGCCAAGTCCTTGGAGGCAGGGAGGAACAGGCAGGCTGACCTGACTACTCGGGAGGAGAGCCCCTGGCCCCTCTCCACGAGGCACACCTGGGGACTGAGACTTAAGGAAATGCTGTGGGAGGGGCATTTGTCGGGAACAAACGCTGGAGTCATGGAGGGTTGTGTGCTTCTGCCGACAGACGTTTCCTGGACTTCTAGCTTTCTTGCTTGCTTCTTGGTTTAATTGCCTTGTTCCTTTGCTTCCTAGACTAATTGCTTTAGGCCCTTGCCCTGCCTGCATTTCTTCATTTGGCAGCCGTTGTGCTTACAGCTTTGTGCCGCACTAATTGGAGCTAGAGGCTGCTGAAGAGGTGTGTGTGTGTGTGTGTGTGTGTGTGTGTGTGTGTGTGTGTGTGTGTGTGTCGCCGCTTTGTGCTGGGACTTGCCAGAGATGTAGGAGCGTTTGGGGAACAGTTGGAGCAAGAAAGGGGCACTTTGAATTGTCAGCTGACGGTGTTGCCCCGGCTCATCACATTTTGTTCCCGACCTAACTCCAACTTGCTCCTCTGTATCACGTTGGGCGACCATGGATCAGCTCCGTGCGGACCACGAACGGTTAGCCCAGCAGGTGGCCCTCTTGACTGCACAAGTTGCGCAGTTGCAAGCAGCCCGCCCACGCCGCAGATGCATGGTACCAGTGCCGGATAAATTTGATGGCTCGCGGGCCCAATTTCCAGCATTTTTTGGGAAGTGCCAGCTTTACATGAGCCTTCGGCCCGAGGACTTCTCCACTGACCGGGATAAGGTGGGGTTTATGATCAGCCTGCTGTCGGGTGCGTTGGGCGGTGCCCCTGCTGACCCAACCCAACCCAGTGCTGGACAATTATGCCGAGTTTTGCGGTCAGCTAAGGGCCATGTTTGAGGACACTGTTAGGTCCAGATGGCAAAACGGCGGCTGAGAGAGCAGCAACGGGCGCGACGGACGGAGGCCTCACCTGCACCCATCAAGACGGCAGTGCCGTCGCTACCGCCTCCAGACAAGCCGATGCAGTTGGGGGCTGCACGACCTCACCTGACCCAAGCTGAAAAGGATCGCCGTCATCGCAAAGGCCTTTGCCTGTATTGCGGTGGTCAAGGCCATATGGTGGCCAAGTGTCCTGCTAAGATACCCAAAGCAGCGGTGGGAAACGGGCATGGCCGAGCCTACAGGGTTCCGTAGGTCAGGCTCGCTTGGCAATTGGCCGGCCACCTCCACCACAGCCGATTCTTGTGAAGCACCTCGTGCTAGCAGCAAGTGTGTTCATGCCTGGTCAGATAGTGGTAGAGATCCAGGCCCTGGTGGATTTGGGGACCATGACCAATTTTATGGACTCGGCCATTGTCGTGCACTGGTCCATCCCCCAGCAGCAGGTGTCACCGCCGGTCTTTGTAGAGACAATCGATGAGCAACCCCTTCGTTTGGGCCCTGCGGTTGCCACAACCGCACCCCTTCACATACGCATTGGGCCGCATGTGGGAGACGCTGTGTTTTATGTTGCTGCAGTGCTGTAAGGACCCACCCCACTTTGCATCTTAAGAAGACAGAACTCTTGGAATAATTCTTCCAACAGGCATCCTTTATTAAGAGAAAATGGTTGCAGGCGTTTTAGACAGGACTTGGGGTCCAAGCTCTCCCATTCAAGGTTTTAAGGGGTTCCCCAGTAGCCCCACCCAATCACCCCCCTCTTCCAGCAACAGTCTCAGGCATTACACTCCCACCCCCTTTTCCTTTCTGCCGGCTGGATGGAGACTTCAGAGAAAACTACATGAAAGGTAATAGCCCCATTCTTATGGTTAGTCGTTTTGGTGATACACACATCCAGTTCCTTTCTTCAGAGAAAACTACATGAAAGGTAATAGCCCCATTCTTATGGTTAGTTCTTTTGGCGATACACACATCCAGTTCCTTTGAAGTGTACTGAAGGAAGTGAGGGCCATAAAGCCCCTTTGTTCACCCCCTTCCCTTCATCGTATGACAGAATCCATAGAAGGCAGAAATGGGGTTTTTTTATAATTGATAACTAGAGATGAAATATAATTGGATTCTGACAAGTGCCCTGTTTCCTGGTGGCGCTGGGGCTAGTGGTTACACGCTCATGATCTGCAGATCATCTGGTCATCTGGGTAAGGGTGGTTCCCAGGCAAGAAGTGTGCCGCCCATCACCTGTATGCCTGCGCAGGGGGTGTGGTTACACATGTGGACCTGGACCTAGCTGCAGAGTTGGTGGACTACGCCGACGTGTTCAGGGAAAAGGAGGCAGATGGGTGGCCCCCGCATCGGTCTTATGACTACCCGCTTGATTTGGTGCCCGATGTCAAATTGCCAGTGGGCCAGATTTACTGCCTGTCAGAACCGGAGTTGGCGGTGTTGTGGGACTTCATCAAGAAGAATCTTCGGATGGGGTTTATCCGGCCTTCTATCTCCCGTTGCCCAGTGCTCTTTGTCAGGGGAAGCTGCGACTGTGCTGTGATTGGATTAATTGCCATAATAATAATAATAATAATAATAATAATAATAATAATAATAATAATAATAATAATAATAAAAAAGTTGGAAGGGACCATGGAGGTCATCTAGTCCAACCCCCTGCTCAGGCAGGAAACCCTACACCATTTCGGACAAATGGCTGTCCAGTCTCTTCTTAAAAACTTCCAGTGTTGGAGCTTTTACTGCTTCTGGAGGCAGGCCTTGGCCCTTTGCTTCCTGGACTAATTGATTTAGGCCAGGGGTAGGCAACCTTGACTCTTTTATGACTCCTGGACTTCAACTCCCAGAATTCCTGAGCCAGCCTGGCTCAGCTTGGAAACCTCTCCCTTTCTCCTCAGCATGGCTGGCTCAGGAATTCTGGGAGGTGAAGTCCAGGAGTCATAAAAGAGCCAAGGTTGCCTACCCCTGATTTAGGCCCTTGCCCTACTACATTTCTAGTTTTGGCAGCTGTTGTGCTCAGCTTTGTGGTGCACTACTTGCAGCCAGAGGCTGCTGAAGATGTGTTTGTGTGTCCGTGTGTGGCCACTTTGCTCTGGGACTTGCCAGAGACGTAGGAGCGTTTGGGGAACAGTTGTAGCAATAAAGGAGCAGTTTGAACTGTCAGCTGACGGTGTTGCCTCTGTGCCGTGCCCCGGGTCATCACAGCCTGCTTTAAGATGGGTGGACTTCAATTCCCAGAATTCCCCAGCCAATATGCTTTAAGATCTATGTGATCCTATGAGATTGTGGAGCTCTTGTTTTATTTTATTTACTTGCTTGTTTATATCCTCCCTTTATTATCTTTACAAATAACTCAAGACAGCAAAAATATCCAAGACACCTTCCTCCTACAGTATATTCCCACAACAAACTATTGAAGTGGTTTGTACTGAGGAGAGAGTGACTGACCCAAAGTCACCCAGCCAGCTTTCATGCCTAAGGCGGGACTAGAACTCACCGTCTCCTAGTGATTGGTCGAAAGTCACCCAGCCGGCTTTCATGCCTAAGGCAGGACTAGAATTCACGATCTCCTGGTGATTGGTCCAAAGTCACCCAGCCGGCTTTCATGCCTAAGGCGGGACTAGAATTCACGATCTCCTGGTGATTAGCCCAAAGTCACCCAGCCGGCTTTCATGCCTAAGGCGGGACTAGAATTCACGATCTCCTGGTGATTAGCCCAAAGTCACCCAGCCAGCTTTCATGCCTAAGACGGGACTAGAACTCACCGTCTCCTGGTGGTTGGCCCAAAGTCACCCAGCCGGTTTTCATGCCTAAGGCGGGACTAGAATTCACGATCTCCTGGTGATTAGCCCAAAGTCACCCAGCCAGCTTTCATGCCTAAGGCGGGACTAGAACTCACCGTCTCCTAGTGATTGGTCGAAAGTCACCCAGCCGGCTTTCATGCCTAAGGCAGGACTAGAATTCACGATCTCCTGGTGATTGGTCCAAAGTCACCCAGCCGGCTTTCATGCCTAAGGCGGGACTAGAACTCACCGTCTCCTAGTGATTGGTCCAAAGTCACCCAGCCGGCTTTCATGCCTAAGGCAGGACTAGAATTCACGATCTCCTGGTGATTGGTCCAAAGTCACCCAGCCGGCTTTCATGCCTAAGGCGGGACTAGAATTCACGATCTCCTGGTGATTGGTCCAAAGTCACCCAGCCGGCTTCCATGCCAAAGGCAGGACTAGAACTCACCTTCTCCTGGTGATTGGCCCAAAGTCACCCAGCCGGCTTTCATGCCTAAGGCAGGACTAGAACTCAGGGTCTCCTCAACCACTAGACTAAACTGGCTGTCATTGATCGCCCTAGTTATCTGTCTCCGTTTTTTCCTGCCATTTGTGCCTCCAGGTGGTGTGGTTCTGGGCATCAACGCCAAAGGGGAACGCCTGAAGCACTGGTTCGACTGCTTAAAAAACAAGGATAAGAAAATCGAACGATGGCACACGCTTACCAACGAACTCCCGGGAGCTCTCCTCAGTGACTGACTGCTCGGACCTCGAACCCGGGACCTCACCCGCCAATTGTCAAAGAGACAGAGGGATTATGGGATTATGGGTTTCTTGACTGCACGTGATTCATTCAGGGCCTCCCAGGGCAGAGGGGGGAAAATGGGCCGAGCTGGGTAGGGGGTATGGTTCATTTTCCAGAGACTCCAATCCGAAGCAATTTGGGGTTGGGTTTTTTTGGGGGGTGGTGGTTTGGCAAAACCCATGCTATTTTTTTTTTCTAGGATGCCTTCAACCCTGTGTGTGTATGTATGTGTGTGAGAGTGTGTGTGGGTTTGGGGAATAAATAACCCTGCATGTGTTAACAGTTGTGATTTATATGCATATTCTGAATTTGAGGTTTGAACAATTAGCCTCTAAATACGTTTCAGCAGGTTTACTAACTCTCTAAAACAGGGGCATCCAATCTTGGCAGCTTTAAGACTTGTGGCTGGGGAATTCTGGGAGTTGAAGTCCACAGGTCTTAAAGTTGTCAAGGTTGGATAGCCCTGCTTTAATAGAAGACACTCTGGATTCCATTTTCGATAGTTGGATGATGTGGGGCAGGGATTTTTTCTGCCTTTAATGTTTCCGAGGATTTTAGTTCTTGGTTTGTGTGCCTGCGTGTATGTGTGTATGTATATATACGTGTGTGTCTGGTTGTACAATGAGAGCTTGCTATACTTTCGGCGTCCCTAGTGTTTTAGCTGCCCTTCCTGACAATCTGTACAACACCACAAAGGGCTGTGTAACTAATTACTAATTATACTTCCCCCAAAAAATAACATTTCTGTTTCTTCGGCCTTTGCTCTAATTATTATTTTTTTTTAAAAAAATGCAAGACTTTCAAAAAAGAACAGCTCAAAATTCCCCATTCATTCAAAATGCAGGTGGTCCTCGACTTAGGACGACATTCGAGATAAAATTCGTCGCTAAGCGAGACACAGTGGTTAAGTGAGATTTGCCCCAGTTTACGATCTTCCTTAACAAGGGTTAAGTGGATCACTGCCGTTGTTAGATTAGTCACACGTTTGTTAAATGAATCTAGCTTCCCCAGACTTTGTTTGTCAGAAGGTCGCAAAAGGGGATCACATGTCCCGGGGGACACTGCAACTGTCATAAGTACACGCCAGTTGCCAAGCACCGGAATTTTGATCACGTGACCATGGGGATGCTGCAACGGTCGTGCGAACAACAGTTTTAAGTCACTTTTTCCAGTGAGGACAATTAACCAGTGGAACAGCTTGCCACTAGAAATCGTGGGCGCTCCATCACTGGAGGTTTTTTAAGAAGAGACTGGACAGTCACCTGTCTGAGATGGTATAGGTCAGGGGTGTCAAACTCAATTTCATTGAGGGCCGCATCAACATTGCGGTTGCCCTCGGGGGGGGGGGGCAGGGTGTGTGTGGCCAGGGTGGGTGCGGCCTACTGGGTGGGCGTGGATGGAGTGGGTGTGGCCTACTGGGTGGGCATGGCCAGCTCTACATCATTTGCGTCAAGGGTGCCTGTGGGGGCCTGGGCAGGAGTGGGACAGATCTGAGGGTCTCTGGCAGAAGGGGGTGGGACCGGGGCAAGCGCCAAGGCACGGTCCATTTCTTCATTCCTCACAAAGGGTGACACCTCCCCAGCATGCACCCAGGAGACGGGGCTGATGTGGCAGGGGCTGGTTCCTCGCTGTTTCCAGACGGCCTTGTGGAGCTAAGACTGAATGCGTTTCAGCATAGATGGCCACCACAAAATTGTACATTGGCTCCCGGCTGGCCTGGGCCAGGGCCAAGTCAGCGGGGGCCGTTCCCTCACTGTTTCCAGGATGGCTTCGTGGGCCACATGAAACCATTTCGCAGGCCGCATCCGGCCCCCAGGCCTTGGGTTTGACATGTCTGGTATAGGTTCTCCTGCTTGAGCAGAGGCTGGACTAGAAGACCTCCAAGGTCCCTTCCAGCTCTATTCTATTTGATGTTGCGGGAGCCACTTCTATTTGGAGCAATGGTTTCCACCTTAACAACTTTTAGATGTATGGATTTCAATTCCCAGAATTCCTAAGCCAGCATGGCTGGTTAGGGAACTCTGGGCATTGAGGTTCATGCATTTAAAGTACGCTGCCTAGGAAACCTGGGGAATTGGTCCACCATTTTAAAGCCAGCTGGCTAGGGAATTCTGGGAGTTGAAGTCCACCCATCTTAACGCCAGTTGGCTGGAGAGTTCTGGGAGTCAAAAGTCCACTCATCTTAAAGCCAGCTGACTGGGGAATTCTGGGAGCTGAAGTCCACCAATCTAAAAGCCAGCTGGCTGGGGAATTCTGGGAGTTAAAGTCCACCCATCTTAAAACAATCTGGCTAGGGAATTCTGGGAGTTGAAATCCACCCATCTTAAAGCCAGCTGGCTGGGGAATTCTGGGAGCTGAAGTCTACCCATCTTAAAGCCAGCTGGCTGGGGAATTCTGGGAGCTGAAGTCCACCCATCTTAAAGCATGCTGGCTGGGGAATTCTGGGAGTTGAAATCCACCCATCTTAAAGCCAGCTGGCTGGGGAATTCTGGGAGTTGAAGTCCACCCATCTGAAATCTGGCAAGGTTGAGAAACACTAGTTTAGAGAAACACAATCTTTGAATCCTATTTCAACGGTGAGAGCAAAAGGCATATTCCATTTCCCATTCTATATTTTCACTTACGTAGAATCAGTGTTTTAACACTTCGCACCAGAACAAAGAATGGCAGTTATTGGAAGTGGGAACAGGTGGGCCCAATCCGTCAGGCATCCCATGCCTTTTTCTTCACGTCCTTCCTTTGCACGTTTGTGTAAAACCAGCTGGTCTCCACTCCCTCCCCCCCCCCCCCGCGATCTGTTGTTGATGCTTTTATTTTGCGTAAGAAAAAACTTTTTATTTTTTCCTCATCCGAAACTCTGTACAAACCAACCTATACATAGATATATCATTATACAGCATATAAATATATAAATACAGGCCTATTTAAACAAACTACTATGTTATTATTGCATGTCAGTGGGTGATTGTCATGCAAAAGACTTGTTAAATGTTTGATACCAAAATGTTTTGCTACAACGTGGTCACTGGGGAAGACAAGTCCTGACTACAACTTCAGACATAAAATTTTGTATTCCAGTATCTTTACGTGTGTCTATTTATTGTTTGTCAGATTGGTTTAATCTTTGGGACCTACAATCTCTTCTTCTTTTTTTTTCCTTTTTTTTTTTTTTTAAAAAAAACCATTTTGCAGAATGCTGGTGGTTTGCCACCCAAATCCCCAATGTGACATTCACTGTTGCTACCGTTTCCCTAAAAATAAGACCTCCTCTGATTTTTTGGCGTGGGCCTAATATTAGGTTATTAATTAAAATTAAGCAGTGGAACTACTTGCCTCAGAAGCAGTGAATGCTCCAACACTGGAAGTTTTTAAGAAGAGACTGGACAGCCATTTGTCCAAAATGGTATAGGGTTTCCGGCCTGAGCAGGGGGTTGGACTAGATGACCTCCAAGGTCCCTTCCAACTTTATTATTATTAGTAGTAGTAGTATTAATCATCGCACAGTCAGCCAGCTGTTCAGACTGGATTTGGCATTTTGTCTACGTATCGAGTCCTTACCCAGGACCTGGGATAGGCAGATGTGGATATTTGATGGTATTACAGATATCGTCGCAGGATGGAAGCGATTCCTAGTAAGGCCGCCTTTTGCAATTGACTAATGGCAAATTTGTCAATGCCAATGGTGTTCAAGTGGTGCTCCAGTTGTTTTGGGATTGCACCCAAGGCGCCTATGACTATTGGTACCACCCTTGCTTGCTTTTGCCACAGTCTTTCTATTTCTATTTGTAGGTCTTTGTATTTTGTTATCTTCTCCAGCTCTTTCTGTTCTATTCTGCTGTCTCCAGGCACTGCCACGTCCATTATCCAGACTTTTTTGTCTTTCTATTATTATTATTATTATTATGGATCATCGCACAGTCAGCCAGATGTTCAGACTGGATTTGGCATTTTGTCTACCTATCGAGTCCTTACCCAGGACCTGGGATAGGCAGATGTGGAAGTTTGATGGTATTACAGATATCGTCGCAGGATGGAAGCAGTTCCTAGTAAGGCCGCCTTTTGCAATTGACTAATAGCGAATTTGTCAATGCCAATGGTGTTCAAGTGGTGCTCCAGTTGTTTTGGGATTGCACCCAAGGAGCCTATTACTATTAGTACCACCCTTGCTTGCTTTTGCCACAGTCTTTCTATTTCTATTTGTAGGTCTTTGTATTTTGTTATCTTCTCCAGTTCTTTCTCTTCTATTCTGCTGTCTCCAAGCACTGCCACATCCACTATCCAGACTTTTTTGTCTTTCTTATCGACAATTGTTAAGTCTGGGGTGTTATGTTGCAGGTGCTTGTCTGTTTGCAGGTTTATTATTATTATTGTTGTTGTTGTTGTTGTTGTTGATCATCGCACAGTCATCCAGATGTTCAGACTGGATTTGGCATTTTGTCTACCTATCGAGTCCTTACCCAGGACCTGGGATAGGCAGATGTGGATGTTTGATGGTATTACAGATCTCGTCGCAGGATGGAAGCAGTTCCTAGTAAGGCCGCCTTTTGCAATTGACTAATAGCGAATTTGTCAATGCCAATGGTGTTCAAGTGGTGCTCCAGTTGTTTTGGGATTGCACCCAAGGAGCCTATTATTATTATTACTATTACTACTACTACTACTATTATTATTATTATTATATAAGTCCTACCCCCAAAATAAGCCCTTGTTAGGACCCCCCCCACTCCGTCCCGACTCGCTGCCACAATGGGGCAGGAGAGGCGTGTCACACTATTGCCACCACGAGGTGAAGCAGGTGAGGGAGGGGGTTAAGCTCAACTTACAACCACAATTTCACTTGCTAAGTAAGGCAGTTGTTAAGTGAGTCATACTTGAACTTTGCAACCATTTTTGGTTAAGTAATTTATTTAAATTGCCCGTTCTTTGAAGTTGGTCCTTAAGTCAAGGACTACTTTGAAATTGGTCATAAATCGAGGACTACTTTGAAGATGGTCGCAAGTCGAGGCCTAAGCCTACAAGTAATCCGCAGTATTTCAATCACCCCGTCTTTGAAGTTGGTCGTAAGTTGAGGACTACTTTGAATTTGGTCGTAAGTCGACTAACCTACAATTTGTGCTTAAATTAATCTACAATATGTCAATCACCCTGTCTTTGAAATTGGTCCTAAGTTGAGGACTACATTGAAATTGGTTGTAAGTCGAGGACTAAGTCTACAGTTTGTGCTTAATCTACAATATTTGAATCACCCTGCCTTTGAAGTTGGTTGTAAGTTGAGGACTACTTTGGAGCTGGTCGTAAGTCGACTAAGCCTACAATTTGTGCTTAAGTAATTACAATATTTCAATCACCCTGTCTTTGAAATTGGTCCTAGGTTGAGGACTACATTGAAATTGGTCGTAAGTCGAGGACTAAGTCTACAGCTTGTGCTTAAAAGTAATCTACAGTATTTGACTTACCCTGTGTGATTTATACAGATAGCCCTTGACTTATAAAATTTCTCTTGCTAAGCAAGTTAAGCTTTACCCCATTTTACGACCTTTTTTTACCACGATCATAAGTCGAATCGCTGCAGTTGTTACATGACTCATACAGTCGTTAAGTGAATCGGGCGTTCCTCCTTGGAAGCCCTTTGGGAAGGTCGCAAATGACGATCATATGACCCTGGGACAGTGCAGCCCTCATAAATACATGCCAGTTGCCAAGTGTCCAAAATTTGATCCCGTGACCATGCCGATGCTGCAACGGTCATAAGTGTGAGGACCAGTCCTAAGTCATTTTTTTTTTTTGTAACTTCAAATGCTGGTTAAATGAATGGCTGTCAATCAAGGACTATATACATAAACTCAGAGGTCAAATCTGGTCCCCAGCGTTGAACCCTGGGGGGGGGGGGCATGAAGAAGATATATTTATAATATAATTCAGTATAATTCGTGGTTCCCCAAAGGTTCAAGGCTGTGAACTCGG